TAACTTTTGGAATATATCTTTCGCCAGTCCAATGCGTGTTCGGAACTTGGTGTCACATTTTCACATCCTCCGTTAAAACATTTCTCAGATATTTAAACTTCTGTACATCTCCATTTTGTAACTCGCATCCTGTTTTTTTTTCTCTTGTTGATGAACCTATTTTCTAAAAGATCCTGACTGAGTGAGTCGTTATTTTTGGATCGTCTTGCTGTACAAGTTAAATAAGTCCGGTAAGAAAACGAATTCTTCTCATATTCTCTTTCTGTTTTTGCGTATGCACTGAAGTCATTCTTTATCTACTGACAGACATTTTAATAATGAACATTTGAATCTTCGCCAATCATTTGTTTCATTTTCAATTGGGTTCTTCTTCAGGAAAGGAACTCTATAAAATCAGCCGAATATAAATAAATTTATAACTGATTTTATTCCAAATCTGAGCGTTCTTTTTGTTACTATTTGCTTTAAGAATTTCTCGTTGCTTACTCGCTCCGTTCATAGAATTCTCAGTATCCTTCTGTAGGACCAAATTTCTTTTGCCGCCAGTTTTCTCTTCATCCGTGGGGAGATCGTCCAGTATTCTCTGCCATATAAGAGGACGAATATTACATAACAATACAGCACACTTTTCTTTGGTTCTAACGATTTTTTTTCAAATGTTTTTCGGCTATTTACTTAGCTTATGGAATCCTTCTTTCGCTCGTCCAATGCGTCTTCGGATCTCGGTGTCACATTTTCCATCTTCTGTTAAAACGCTTCGCTGATATTTAAACTTCTGTGCCTGTTCGATGTTTAGATCTCCAGTCTCGTAACTCATAGCTTGGCTTTGATTAACCAAAAAGATCGTTCTTTTTTGTTTTTTTTTGGCGGGGTGGTGTTTTCGTTTTTTGTAGCTCAATAGCATTAGGGGTATTTACTTTTCGGTCATTCATAAAGATTACTTTCTAATAAATTGTGATAGAATAGGAGCGGATTGGTTCGCCTATCGCCCTATTCCCACACCTCCGTCTTTTGAATAAGACCTGAAGTTTATCCCTTGTTTCCTGTTTAGGGTTGTGTTTCCGGTTCGTTCTTCTAAAGTGATCTTATTTTATTTCACTCCCAGTAACTCCTTGCGTCATAGCTGTATTATCGCCTTGCATGGAATGTGAAATGATTAAAAAAAATAATAGCCATATTAGCATGCATTTGTTAAAGAATTTAAGAAGGTACTGTGTATAAGGAGTAATGGATAGCGACTCGGATGGAGGAATCGGAGAGCCGAGTTCGAATTCCAGTCGAATCCATTCAATAATACAATACCATACAATAATACCCTTGGGAAAGGTGTGAATCCTCTTCTTATGTATAAATAGCAGAACAGACCGGGTTCTACAGCTTGGATGGCAACTGGTCTACTGCGGGGAAAAAAATCTGCCTCGTCAGTCATGTATCGAAAGATACATGATCGCCTAAGCGTGTATCACGCATGGCACATAACTGACTGACTGAACATTTAATCAAGCATACTATGGGTAAATAGCAGGACAGATCGGGTTCTATAGCTTTGGATGGCAACTGGTCTGCCACAGAAGGAAGTGGCAACCGACTGCGGGAAAAAATCTTTCTCGTCAGTCATGTATCGAAAGATACATGATCACTTAAGCGTGTATCACACAGGACGCATAAATGACTGACTGTACATTTAGTCAAGCACACTATAGCAGGACAGGCCGGGTTCTATAGCCTTGGATGGCAACTGGTCTACTGCAGGGAGAAATCTGTCTCGTCTGTCATATATCAAAAGATACATGATCGACTAAGCGTGTATCACGCATAGAACATAACTGACTGTGTATAATCGAACGTATCAAATACGATTTGTGGTTTTCGGGTTAGATATTTCCCGCTGAATAATACTTCACAATTGGGTAGACTAATTGAGGTTGCAATTAAGTACAGATATTATTCTTTTATATACCTTGTCCGTTCAGGTTGGTCATGGCTCTCCATAACTTTCTAACCTTTATACCTCTAAAGTTCTTGTTGTTACCAAAGGCTAACAACGTATTTAGTAGATTCCCCACAAATCGATAGCAAAATATATTTCGATTATGATAAGTGGCACGGCCTAAGAAAGGTCTAAAGCACACTAATATTCGACAACTATTTCCCCACAAAATCTTCGATAATTTTTACGAGCGGACCACACTCTTTAAGTAGCTCCACTACTTTTTTTGTATTATGATAAGTGTCGCGGACTAAGAATGGTCTAAAAATGCAAATCTTGAACATTTATTTCCCCACAAAATCTTCCATAATTTTTACGAGTGGACCACTCTATTTAAGTAGCTCCATTTTTGTGTGGAAATAATTGTTGAAGATTAGCATTATTTAGATCTTTCTTGGGTTGCGACATATATCATAAAACATCTGTATTGCAGCTACTTCAATAGAGTGGTCCACTCGTAAAAATTATGGAAGATTTTGATGGCAAATTAGCATTCTAATAGACGCGTTTATGATTTAAAAAAATCTTAAGAAAGGTCCAAAAATGTTAATCTTCTACAATTCTACTCTATTTAAGTAAATACTTTTTTTTATTATGATAAGTGAGAACGGTCTAAATATGCTAATCTTCAACAATTATTTCTCCAGAGCATTTTCCACAATTTTTACGAATGGATCACTCTATATAAGTAGATTCAAAGCTTTTATTTTTATTATAGTAAGTGTCGCAACCTAAAAATGTTCTAAAGAATGCTAAACTTCAATTATTATTATTATTTCGCCCACAGTCTTCCATAATTTTTACGAGTGGACTACTCTATTTAAGTAGATCCAGTCCTTTTTTTTTTTATTATGGAAAGTGTCGCGGCCTAAGAAAGATCTAAAAATGCTAACCTTCATGCAGTTTGGGAACCAGTGAAAGTAGCTCGTCAGAGCAGTTGCCATGAAAATATTTGTAGAAAAAAAAACAGAAGGAAGCTAATTTACGTCTGTGAGAAAGTGACTGTAGACGTGATACTAGGTCAGGAACTATCATATTGCACATCTGTCTCTGGATCTTGTCAAGGACCTCGAGATGAACCTGCAGGAGCGCCAGACCACACATGGCAGTAGTATTCATTGCAAGAAGGAATGGTAGATTTTTAGATTTAAAGGATGGACTCAGGCGAGAAAAACCTTCTGGCGCGACGCAGAGAACCAACTTTCCTTGCGGTAGATGCAGCTATTGATTCAATGTAGTTGTTCCACCGCAGGTCAGTGGAAAACGTGAGACCACGAAGGCGCAGCGGACGATGTTCTGTTGTCCTGGGGTGGCAACCAATCTAGAAGAAGGAAAACGCTGACATCAAAAGCAGAATTAAGTAGTTGGCTGCCAACGACGCAACATCACTGCTAGGATTGCAGTTCCCCTAATGGCTTACGAAACTTGTGACACGATGAGCGAAAAATGATGCATATTCTCTTACATACTCGGTGTAAGAATCAACAAAAAAATTACCAAATTTGTGAGTTCTTTAAAAAAAAAATGCACGTTGATATGACAACTATTTTCAAAATCATTTCACACCCCAAGCAAGGCGATAATGCCACTAAGACACAAAGGGGTTACTTGAAGTGAAAGAGACATTAGAAGAAAAAAAAACAGAACGGTCTTTTTCATTATGTCTCTTAGAAAATTTTAGTGTTTCTTTCTGATTCTAAGTGTTGTGGTGTCCTCCCTCTAACGAGTCTATTGTGGACTCTTCCACTTACTATAAAATTAGTAGGAGAGTAAGCCTCGGGGTGGGGACAGCAATACAGATTAAACGCTGGTCAACCGACACACACTCCCAAGTCGTGTAATACTCTTTTATTCAATTCACAATTTATCTGCAAACTCTTGTTTTGTTATTTCTTAACCATTTACTTGGTTACGACACTAAATATCAGTATCCTTTTGTTCAGTCTATGGCATTCTCAACATCTTTCTGTAAAACCAAATTTCTGCTGCCTCAAGTCATCTGTGGGAAGATTGTCAGGTATTCACTGACATAGAGAAGGTCTGATATCACAGAAGAGTTCAGTACTCTTTTCTTTGTTTCTACCGAAATTTTCCCGTTTCTTAATACTTTGCTTAGCTTTTAGGAGGCATCTTTCACCATGCCAATGCCCGTTCGGATTTCACTGCCACATTTTCCGTCGTCTTCTATAGCACTTGCCAGATAGTTTTATGACGGCTATAATTCGTCGCCCACATTTGGGGCTCTTCTCCCTACTGACAACCATACATTTTTTTATTCTTATTGACAGTCTTTTTACTTCTTACTTTTCTTTGCAACATTGTCTAGGAGTTTCTACAGGTTCTTTTTCTGTGTCTGCCATCATCCGTCTCTTATGTTTTTTTTTTAAGATTATAGTTAAGATATAACTTGAAAATAATCAATATTTACTACATGGTAGATAGCTAAAATAACTGAATCAGTGTCCCAGAATAATAATCTATTCAAAGAGATATAACGATGTGGTAGTATAAAATTGTGCTTTGCCTGAGAAACCGGTGGTGATCGCGTCAGAAATCGGCAAAATGGTTGTTCAATAAAGTCGTAAATTAAAAAAAAAAAAAAACCTTTGTGTATTTTTCTTGCATAATAAACAGGATGAACTTTTCGGGCATCGAATTATTAACGCCCTTTCATTTGGGGTCCCAAAAAATACGTAAGATGCATCTTTGTACAGAGCGACAAATATGTTTAATGTATATTTCTACCTTTGTTAACTACATGTCTAACTTTTCGAATCGCCTGCAAGCCAAATTTTTGTTTACATTTTTGACTCTCCTGCAAAACGGACCACTGCCTCTTTTTGACTCTCAAGCAAACCGGACTTGTTATATTCTCTCTCTCTCTCTCTCTCTCTCTCTCTCTCTCTCTCTCTCTCTATTTATATATATATATATATATCAGCAGTTTAAGTCTGTCTGTCTGTCTCTCTCTCTTTCTCTCTCTCGCTCTATATATCTATCTATCAATTAGTCAATAATTTCATATCTATCTATCTATCTATCTATCTACTCTTTAGCTATATCTATCAGCCATTTAAGTTTCACTCTCTCTCTCTCTCTCTCTCTGTTCATCTATCTATCTATCTATCTATCTATCAATACATTGGTCAGTCATTTCATATCTATCTATCTATCTATCTATCTATCTACTCTTTAACTATATCTATCTATCAGCCGTTTGTCTCTCTCTCTCGCTTTCTCTATGTATCTATCTGTCTGTTTATTTATCAATTGATCAGTCATTTCATATCTATCTATCTTTAGCTATATCTACCAGCCGTTTCAGTGTTTATCTATCTATCTATCTATCTATCTATATATATATATATATATATATATATATATATATATATATATATACATAATATCCCATGTCGATAGCATCTCGGAATTTCATGCAACATGCAATCTTCAGGTATAAAATGCCCACTGACCATTAGAGGGTTATAAAGTTCGCGTTGTCTTTATTTAAAACTAGCAGCATGGCCCGGCGTTGCCCGTGCTTGATTCAAAAATCGTACGACTAATACAGCAATCGCTATCACTTAACTTAAAATATTTTTGCTCTTCCTTGCCTTTAGAGGAGTGCCCTTTGCCGTGCTGATGTTGTTACATGCCTTACTTCTTGCCTAAGCTCTATAGTAAACATTAAATCTGTTACGAAAAAAGAACTAAACAAAATAAACACAATACGATCAGCTTTAAAAAAACTGGAAAAAACATTTTTAAGGGTTGACCGATTGTCGATTTGCACTCTGTTTGGGGGGTGCTCAGAGTTGAAACTTCACATGATGACTCCCAATGGCCTCTTCATAAATCCGCTCGGTTTTCGTTAAAAACCGACATGCGGTTCAGACACAATCTGGGCGTATCGGCTTTTGGGTTTTATCGATTTTCCGCGCTGTTTAGGGGTCCGTGGTCATGAAACTTCTGGACAACACTTCTAAAGGTCGACTCTAAGAGGGTGTCAAATTTGGTTGAAATGCGATCATTCCTTCTGTAAGCAGAATTTTTTCGATTATCGATTTTTTCGATTATCGATTTTTTCGGAACCTGATTCCGAACTCAAAAATCGGGCTCCGTCATGTCCTTACGGCAGCCATTTGGAAAACTTGTGTTGAAAACCGCATCGAAATCGGGTGAGAAATGCGGCCTGGGCGAGGTAACAACGCCCACGACAGACACACAGACAGACAACATGAGAAATATAGATAATAGATTGTGTGTTAAGACTTTTTTATTTTATTATTGTTGCCTATAATATTATAATTAATTATTTATAATTTATATTTTTCAATTTCTTAATTTCTAAAATTGGAAAATTATATATATATATAAGGCAGGATGTGTGTGTGTGTGTAACGAATGCACTGCCGCAATTTTCGACGGATTTGCACCAAAATTTACATGCACATGCTCCAAGTTAGCGAAAAGGCCAAGACCGACTTTGCATTTCCCAACTCCCATTGATAGTGGAAATAATCGATTTTTTTCATGCTTCTACAGCAGATTTCATGTAGTTTGCGGCCATTTTCTACTGGCCAGAGTGAGAGCCTATAGCTGGCTGCCACGAATAGGCAGGAAGATTCTATTGGCCAGCGTGAGAGCCAACAGCTGACTGACACGAATGTTAACTAGCATGCTAACATGCAAAATAAATCGATAGCTGCATTCGTCACAAGTGGGAAAATTTAAATCTGCATGGCACTTTACTCCAATTGGCTCATTCGCTTGCTTAAACTCAACGCTGATTCTGATTACACACACACACACACACATATATATATATATATATATATATTAGTGTGTGTGTGTGTCTTCATTCGTCTATATTTATCTACCTTCATCTTTTTATGTGTTTATACTAAACCCTTCTATCTATCTATCTATCTATCTATCTATCTATCTATCTCAATCGTTTCTTATCTATCTATCTATCTATCTATCTATCTATCTATCTATCTATCTATCCCCTTGGGATCTCTGGGCTCAATGTGATTATAAATGAAACTATAGCAGTAGGGCAGTTATGTTTTCTCTTCATTAACATTGATTTGCAAAACTTAAGTGTAACCTCAAAAAGAGAAAGAATATTTTTTAAATAAATTGAAAAAAAAGTAACATAATTGGTCTCTTGGTTCCATTTAGCGTTTATAAACTGCCGATGACGTCATTAAACTTTCCAGACACTAATTAGTATGCTTTTTATGTTTTCAGTGCTTAACGAGAAAGTAAATTGGTCACTTTACGATAAAAAAAAAAAACAGAATTAAATGTACACACAAGAAAATCAAAACAAACGCAGTTAGATCCCAATAAAAAAATAATAATCAACGAAAAAAAAAAACAAATTAACGAAAAAAAAAATTCAAAATATTTATTTCAAAGAATGAAAGTGCCAAGAGGTAAAAAAAAATACCGAAATAATTACTTTTAATTTCATTAAAGCAAGTCATCCACTTGACTTGAAC